CCTATCCCAGCTGGACCCAGGACAATGGATTTCGTTACCTTTCTAGTTTGTCAGTTGGAGTAATTCAAAATACAGATTATACGCAAAATCTCCTCAGGCCAGAGCATCACTTTTTTTTTTTCGTTCTGTTTAACCTCACACCCTACTTATATTGTAGGGTGCAACAGCACACAAAGCTGCAGATATATTTTTTGATAAGGCAGTGAATACCAGGATCCTCTTAGCTAATTCAGAATCCCTGAAATACAGCACAACCTTTTCCTGTGTTGAATTCCTTGACTTATACCTGTTTGAATTTAATTTGCCATTGTTTTGCTGCTTACCAAGTTGAAGTGTTTCTGAAGCTTCACAGTCCTTCCTGATTACTCTTTCATCTGAAGATAGCTTCTGCTGTGCTTCCCATATTTTGTTACAAAATTCTGTGACCCTCTGTGAGATGAGGAGTGTCCTGAAGGCCTTTTTAAAAATCCAGATTTTTAGCTGATTCTCTTCCGTGTATTACCTAATTTGCTGGCAAGTTAGTGTCAGTAACAGAATTTGCCTTTGCAGTTCTGTGGAGTCTTTGATGGATCCCAGGTGATAACAGTTGTGAGCGTAAGCATTTTGGCAAAACTATTAACTTCCAGCTAAATGCAGCTAGTGCAAAATGAACAAAGTGCAGAGGGAAAATTTGCTACATTCCACTAAGCGGGTGATAAAGAGAGAAGACTTTAGCTGTTGCTCCCTCAGAGAGAACTGCTGTGGTGGGGTATTCTTTGCTGGCAAGGCTGGTTTCTTTGCTGCACAGGGAACAGAAGTACACCAGTAAATGTTTCAGTTCCTTGCTGATGCAAGAGCTGTTTTAATCTGAGATGCTAACAATGATGAGCTTCCTACTGGTGCTCATTACTGATTGGACTGACAGGCCCAGGGTACTACAGCAAGCTACCCGTTACTTACTTACAGGGATATCTAAATAGGATTTGACATGATGAATTGTTGAATGTGCAGTGTTTATTTTATAACATTAGGAAGCAAGATTCCTTTCTCTCACCCCTGAGACTAGACATGTGTGGATTTTTAGAGTTCATTGGTTTGCTTTAGATTGAAGAAGCAGTGTGATCTGTTACTCTTCAGTATGTTATGTGGATTTAAGAAATAGTGCTTACATTTTTGGGGGTTTTTTTGCTGTAATGACTTAATGAATTTAGTAAAGGTAGAATGTGGAGGTGGAACTTTTCAATGAAATGTTTTAGTAGGTACTTTTCTTGTATTCGAAGAGTGAGTAAATTTTCGGTAAGTGAAGATCCAGTTAGGTTTTCTGAATTAGAAAGTTATTAATAGTAATTGTTGGTAAACTCTTTGGGAGGATAAGGCAGTTATAGGGCACAAAAAAAATATTTTGCCTCAAA